TCTGTGAGACACATGAATTGTTCGGTCTGTTTGGGAAAACCACAAATACTGAAAAATTTTTGTAACATTCTTACTCGCATAAAGGCCATCCCGAAATTACCTTTTACACTAGTAGAGAACAACTTGAAGCAAACCAAGAAGTGGCGTATTCGAAGATATAACTTCTACATTGATCCAACAATACTGGGAGCCATACCCGATTATTTAATAGAGTAAAATAGTAATATGGTGACGTAGAAGGGCCGAAAGGCGAAAGGGTTGTGGTGAGAAGTAACGCCGAATTGCCACGCCCATGGTCTAGGGTCAGGGCACGTCCTGCCGTTGGAAAATTTTCGGTAAATGACCCCCCCCCCTAATCTCGTCCTCTGCTACGAGTCACCCTCCCCTCTTAACTATTCCCTTACCTCTCTTGGCAACGTTCCCAAGATTCCTACCACTTTTCCCGGAATTTTTTTCCAAAAATTTTCCAGTTTTTCTCCGAAATTTTTTCGTCCAGCAGGAAGTGGATGGAGGGGGGAGAGTGCTTAGCACTAGCGAGGTGGGAAAAACCGCGGAAGAATGCGGCAATTTTTCCCTCAAAGGTGCGGCGAGAACGAGCGACCCCCTTCTCCTGGCCATCAGCGAGCCCGACCCCCCCCCCTCCCTGGAATTCTCTCAACAGTGTGAATAGCGCTCCATGAAACAATAGAATCAACTACCAAGGATTTTTTCTCGATATCAAATACAACCCCCTCCCTCTGGCGACCAAATACTACTCCCCGCCGGGAATTCCCCAAGGTAGGACGCGGCTTATAGGGTTGAGGTCCCGGGAGGGCACCATCAGAGCCAAACAACCGTTCAAACTCTCTGGGTTGGTTAATTGAAATTACAATAGCAAAACTTTCCGTTAACACGTAACTTTGCACTGTTTCGCCGGATCACTTTTCTGTATTCTGAGCAGTACCTTTGTAGTACCTTTGTACTGAGATCCCTTCTAGAAGCACCACTTTGCGAGGACGCATCAACTAATTATTGTCATGCTAATGCTGAATGTTCGGTAGAAGACGTGCAACTCATATGTCGATGTAAACCAGGCACCAATGACACATCAAACGGTCTGGGAAAAATCTGTGAAGGAACTGTTGCTGACGATGAGTTAGTTTCTCTTGTTGTATTGCAGGCTCATTCAGGCCAGTGAGCGCTCTTGCGGTGCTCAGGCCTTATGATAAAGACGGGTAACCCTCAGGCTACTCCTCATTTTCAGCTGTATTATGATATTCGGAGCATGTTTGATATTCTGGTTGATTATACTGTTGGGACTACTGGTACTTATTCCACTATTACTGTTGCTTCTATTTCGCTGCTGTCCTCGTCGTGATAACTCAGTCCATCCAAAGAAATCGGTAAGTGGTTTGCTGAGACTTGTATCTCTAATATACTTATTTTACGCAAATTGAAAGGAAATGATGGCTTTAGAAACATGCACCTACTCTTGTTTGGTACAACATTCTGTTAAAGGCAGTGCCCGCCATCAGTTGAAATTTCCCTCTCCCTTCGTGAGCAGGTATACTGCTCTGCTGATGCAGCGTTTCCACCATTTTTGTGGGGCAAATGCGAGTGAGTAGGATATTGTCATCCCTCTCATTGGCCCGACCCACTTTCATTGGCCCTCGCCCGTCGCTCTACTCGTTCAAAGTAACAGAAAACCTGCCAAAGGACATAAGCAGGGACATCGACCATAACGGCCGCAACATCATCGGCCCAGATCACGTTCTTTGATCGCCGTCTGCTCGTACATACAACTACGCTAGCTAGAGGCTTTATTCAGGGTGATTGCGACCAATTTTTCTGCATTTTCTCCACCAATGACTTTCTTGGAATACTGACACCGCTATCTGAGTGCCACTACCCAGAATATCTGATCGCGGGGTTAGCCTTCAAATTTGCCCCGGCTTTTTCCCATGAAACGTTCCCACAAAGCATTTCAGTGAGCTTGGGTTTGCTCAGTAACCCCAAATTTCTCCTTACTGTCTGCTCTCTCTCCCAAATGTCTTGCATCTGTTCTTGACGACTTTCTGAATGTGCAG